TGGAGTTCTGCTCCACAGCCGTCCCCAACAGGTCTGGGCTCCGTTGGGTCAGCATGGCCCACCCACCTTCATCAGCACCATGGTTTTTCAGGGTCCTCTGGTTCCGCGCTGGGTGGTTGCCAAATTTTCACTATAATGAAGCTTGCTGAGAAGCATCCTTGGACTAGTCCTCCCTGTGGGTACACATGGGTGTTTATCCAGGAGAGGATACAATAGCAAGCGTTGCTGAGTGCTACAGTGTAACAGGCTCTCCGGAGGCTCTTCGGGCAGGAATAATTTAGTTCTTACAAACCCCTGGGGGAGCTCACTATGACTGTCTCCACTTCACAGATGGGGAAATGAGGCTCAGAGAAGTTAAATAATTTGCCCAAGGTCACACAGCTAGTAAGTAGAATGGCAGGCTCGTGTGTGTGCATGGTTTTCCGAAAGCAAGTTTAATTGTAACATCCTGGTTTAATAAGCAGACGGCACCAAGAGACAACGAGAAACTGTTCCCTGCCCTTTTCTTCCGCTTTTTTTTCTTCCTTTTTTTTTTTCTTCCTCCTGTTCAGCGCAGCTTGCAGAATCTTAGTTCCCCGACCAAGAACTGAACCCAGGCCCTCGGCAGTGAAAGTGCAGAGTCCTAACCACTGGACCCCCAGGGAGTTCCCTCTGCCTTTTTTGAGCAGAGGCAAGAGGGGCGGTGTCAGGCATACACACCAAGTGGGCATGTGTGCACTGGGGTGCTGGGCTAGGGGCTGGGAGGCCAGTGTCTGAGGTGGGGGGCCATGAGGGTGGGGTGGAGGAGGCTGGAGTTGAGGTTCTCCTGCTCCAGGGTGGCAGAGGCCAGCTGGGGTCCCATGGGCTGTTCCTCGCCCCCCCAGATGTGGAGCAGAGGAGAGATGAGGAAGCAGGGGCCAGGCTTGTGGTGAGACCACTGTCTCTCCTTTGCTTCCTAGAGGATCTCCATGCTGGCCTGGAGCAGAGACTGAGCTGGACTACTGGAGCCTGGGTGAGTGAGGGCTGGGCACCACCTGGGGAAGGCAGGGGGGCCACAGCCACGCAGTGAAGGCGTCTGGTGTCCCTGAGACTCTGGTCCGGTCGGGCCCGGTGTGCAAACGTCTGCCCGAACCCAGGTGCCCTAGCTGTAGGGGCCGCTGCCAGGCCCCCCAGTTCTCTGATGGGGGGCCAGGACTTGCTTGGGAGGGGTGGGCTCTGCTGCGAGACTGGGGCGGTGTGTTTGGGCGCTGACTGCAGTGCTGGAATCTGGAACGTTAGGGCTGGAAATTTGGGCTGGGGGAGGGGGCGCCTGGCCAGACGCCTTCCTGGCCAGCAGCAGGCTGGAGTTTGTGCGACTTCTTGGAAGTGCACCTCCGGGCTTCGGCCAGGAAGAGGCGTCTGATGCCCCTGAGGAAATCCCCGCTGGCCCGGTGAGCAAGCGGGGGGTCCCAGGCTGCCTTCAAAACAGGAAGCGCCCGTTCCAGGAACGCCAGCCGCAGGAAGCTTTGCCGGCTGTGCCTGGCACCTCCCGCGAGGGCGGCCTGAGCGCTGCCTCTGGTCAGGTGGTTCACCCTTTGCTCCTGTGGGCCTGGCCAGGCCGGTCACCTGAGGCTTTGTTTGTACCGGAAGTGGAAGGAGCTGCTGCCTATCATTGTTACCCAAGTCCCTCCTGCCAGACCGCGTGACCTGGGCTCAGCCCTTGGAACCCTTGGACTTGAGGCTCACTCTGCCCACCCCCCAGAGGGGTCCTGGGCCAGGGAGCCCAGGTCTGGCCCTGGCCTGCTTGAGGGGGGTGGGGCGGGGGCAGCAGCACAGTATCTGGGCCAGTGTTACTGTCAGCAGCAAGACCTGGCCCCGCTCCGCGACCGCACACATGGCTTTCATGGAGCACTTCTGGTGTGCCAGCCCTGGGGGCCCCTGGGGCCAAGGGCAGGGCTGGGCTTCTGCCCCAGGGGCTCAGTCAAGTGGACACCAACCAGAGGGAGGTCAGAGCATTCTTTTTTTTTTTTGCGGTACGCGGGCCTCTCACTGTTGTGGCCTCTCCCGTTGCGGAGCACAGGCTTCGGACGCGCAGGCTCAGCGGCCATGGCTCACGGGCCCAGCCGCTCCGCGGCATGTGGGATCTTCCCGGGCCGGGACACGAACCCGTGTCCCCCGCATCGGGAGGCGGACTCCCAACCACTGCGCCACCAGGGAAGCCCCAGAGCATTCTTTTTTATGCACTGTGACCCTTCCATCTCCCGGGTCCTGTCACGTCTGTGAGCTACCAGGACTGAGGCAGGGCTCAGGGTCACAGCAGAGCTCTTTCAGAAGCGGGGGGGCCCAGGAGTTCCCCCGCTTGGTCGGCTCTGGGTTCAAGTCCTAGGCGCGCTGCCGGCCGGCAGAGGGGCCTGGACACGGGTCCATCGGGGACCAGGGTCCTGCTTCCATGGGTGGCCTGGGCTCGGGCGGCTCCAGCTCCGGCCGCGGCTCCGCCCCCGCCCGCCCGTCCGCACCCGCAGGTCCGCCCCCGCCCGCCCGCCCGCCCCCTCCCTGGGCTCCGGGAACATTCCATTCATTCCC